AGCCACTATAGTTGCTATTTCTTGCGGACTCCCTAGTGCATTTTCCTGATTTGAGCTTGCATCAAGTAACTTTTCTTTCTCCAATAGCTTGATAATAGGATAAATTAATAAATAAGTTGCGTGTTGTATTAATCGCTGGCATGTAAGTCTCAACTTTGCGTCCACATGCTTCCTCGAATCTATAAGCTGTTCTTTCATTTGTGGTGCACCTTCCAAAAGAAATTGTAATAACGCATTGTTTGACAAGGTAAAGAACCTAGAACTCTTTTCGAGTAGTCCAAATGCAGCGGTCTTCACTTTGGAAAAATCCAAACTATATTCCTTGATAGTAAAATCCACTTGGAACGGAGCAATTTGTTCTCTAAGAATGAGCAAGTGCTTAATTTGAAATAATTCTGCATCCAATGTACTCGCTCTCTTTTCAATTTCCTGTCTGGCATTCTCAATGCTCTGAACACAGAGGGAAATTGCCTCCTGGCTCAATGATTGGAACACAGATCTATCCACGCAACGATAAAGTCTTGACAGACACACAAGAGTTCTGCGAACTGTGGGATACCACATAGCATGCAGATCCGCTGGAGAACTTCCCATGTGTGTTTTCTGATAAATGGAATCGATAACTATATGATTTCGAGAAACTGGTTCTAAAGCAGAACTATCAGTGGATGATACCGAAATCTTCTTCATACGAGTCTGACGAGTCGCTTCCCTAATCGATTCTGCTATATCTTCCATCATCTTCAATTTTTCTGGATACGCCAGGTCACCCGATGAAGGATTGTAATCCAGTACATCGGATTGTAGATATAAATGTGCACGAAATACTAATCTTTCTTGAACATCATGCAGTAACTGCAAACATATGTTTCCAAAGCCTTCCAGTGGTTCAAAGTTGTTCTGTACATGTTCATCTAGCATCTCTATTCGTAGAATGCAGCAAATCTCTGCTAATGTCTCAAGATGATTGATGTGTATTATGAAAGGTCTCAATGCGTCATATAAAGAAGTGCACAAGCTCTCTAGATATGCAGTTAATCCATTTGATTGTTTTGAAAAAAATTCATAGAACAGTTTATGCTCATCTATCGATGCATGCAAGAGTAATGCACAAGAATGTCGCACTAAACTGCAATGGTCACCATTATACTTTTCCCTAATAAAATTCAGTGATTTCTGTATGCTTGTACCTAGCACTAAGCCTCGCTGACTCCAATAATACTGGTGACACTCAAGCAACAAGGTATCATATTCTTGTCTTTTGTATGATTTGTTTTCAATCTGCCTGATAACGGGTCTTGTTTTAGACAAGATTGTCTGAAATCTGCCATAGAATAGAGCAAGAGCTGTGTCTGCATTCTCTGATGAGTTTTCATTGTCTTTCAAGTTTAAAATACTTTCAGTGGTTTTAGAGAACAAGTTGGAAATGTAATTCTGTATTAACGCAATCGCCTTTGATTGACAATGCTTGTATCTCACTAGATAAATTCCACTTTCATTGTACGATGAGTTGTTTTGCATAAAATCTATGTTTGTGTCAATTTTATCTAAGACAGTGAAAAACATTTCACTGTTCACCGACAAAGTAGATGCATCCAATTTTTCTGTAATCACATCAATTTCTTTGAAATACTTAACATACTCCGTAATGCCATCGATTGTCGCATTTAACTGCTTTTGATCAAAAATAAGTTGTTCACTAGCTTCGTATAAAGAAGTGGTTTTACTGGAAACTTCAGTATACTGTTTATAAAGTGCAGAGAAATCGTCCAATGTTTCTTCTATCTGAGAACAAACACCATGACATTCAGATTTCCTTGAGTTTAACTCATCAAGATATAAACTGTATTTCATGTCGTACATGGATACATATTTTCTTTCCAGAAATAAGAAATGATCAAGTAATTCCTGATACTTTTCTATCGGAGGAATATTCTCCTGAGACTTCTGCTCTTGTAACTTGTCATCGCCATCACTTGTACTGGATTGTAGATTCGACAATGGAAAAAACGAAGACACAATGATTTCTAAATTTGTCAAACAATCCTTTTGACATTCTGTTAATGGGGCCAAGGAATTGTCACTCTGGTCCCACTGAATAAGGTTATGTGGAATTACCTTCGTATGAGACATTTTATTTATAGTAGAGATTTTCAGTTATTGATATAATCATACATGTCTCGTTTACACGTAATTCAGTACGTATTCCAAAATTAAATTTAAGTGTGCACATTTACGAATCGACACAATTCTAGAAACTGCGATTAGCAAAAAACGTTTGGAAATGTTGACGTATACAACAATTACAATAATTTCTCACAGGCTCAACCGGTTTAATGTAATCGACCTTATCGATGTACTTTCAACGTAATTAGTAAATTCCTACCTGACTTATTGAGGTTAATATTATTGTATTGGCATGTATTTTTTATACATACATTTGGAAAAAATCATACATGAAATATAATAATTGTTTCGTCATGTAGCAAAATCTCCCTTACTATTATATAAGTTTATTTACGGTGTTTATTATAGATATAGAGACAACACACGTAACATTTATATTATACCGACAGTAAGTAATCTTATGCTATAAAGTGCGCGCTCTACCATAGGCATCTATATATATCTTACATGAAAAATGATGGCGCGCGCGCACGAATAAAATTAGTTTTTTTTTAAATATAATAAATCTGCAGTTTATAATAAGATTTAAGAAAAGTTGGTAATTTTAAAATAATGACGTTAGAATTTTAAAAACTAAAGATATTTTCTGCACTAAAATAATTGGTCTAATATGGTATATAAAGATTTGACATATTAAAATATTATGTATATGTATATATATCAGACTCACCCACTTTTATCCGCAAATCGACATTATAAGCGATTTCACATCAGTTCTAAGTGATCAAGTCCCCTTTTTGCTATTCTTTGTTATGTAAACAGAATCTATACTACGTAATAGAACCATTATCAAAAAATGCACACGTTTAAGGTTCACTAACGATGAAGTTGCTTGAATGAACGTGGCAGAATATGGGAGAAATTGAGATCTTGTATACTATTGCAAATGTATGTACATGTACTTATCTATTATGAAACAAAATAGTTTTCAACAAGCAGGGAAAAGGTGATATCGACATAGGTAATTATCTACTTGTCTTTAACCGAATATGTGCAAGAGACAAATAGTATTATGCGGACATATAATTATACGACAAGAGAGGGTGTAGAACATTGAACGTTATTACAAATGCCACAATGTAGATTTATTAATGATTATAGAGACATGTAACGATGCATGACACACCTCCGAAAATCAACTAGTAATTTTCTCCCCTATAAAATTATTATAATTCTTGGAATCATTCGTTCCTATCCTTTCTAATTTAAGACATTAATTATTGCATGCGTGTGTATGATGTATATGTGAGCTTAGATGTATATGTTAAAATGTATCATTGTTATGTCTTAATATTAGGATAATTATACACATTAATTTAGATTAACTATACATAATAATTTGATACACTACTATACATATACGCATAACACATAAATTATATGTATATTCGAAATTTAGAGTATTTCATGTCACAGCGAAATAAAATACTTTTAGGAAATTAGGAATTAAGTATTAATTAGTGATTAAGTATAATTGCTTTGTTTCGCAGTACGACTTAAATACAAGTAAGCCTTAAAAAGGCTTACAGAGAAATGTAGTATTGAGAGAAAAAAGTAAAAGACGTTAATTCATTTGAATTAATTTGATGTGTATATACTTGTTAATGTGTGTCACTCATAAGAATTTTACAATAGATGCCTGTACAAAAGTATATTTCACTTCGTGAGAACATGACAACATGTTGGAATTTATCGAGAGGGATAACATATATATTCTTCAGTTGTACCAATTAAATGACATCAGTATAATTATAGTTCTGATACTGACATCGCAGTAAGGTATCGACAAAATGTCGCAACGAAATCATTAATTTTAATTTGTGTAGGGACAAACAAAGCAGCCACAAACGTTTATTCGTAGTACCTTATAAACCTTTGTCGTGCGTGCATATTGCTATATATCAATATAATAGTTGGTTTTACTGATACGTATACAAGTCATAGTCATTGTATACTTGATTCTTGTTATAAACATTATTCTGGTTATTCATAAGGAGTCCAAATTAGTAAGCATACTCCATATAAAGATATACGCAAAAAGTAGACAAAATATAATCTTTTTTATAACATATATAATAAATAGAATCGATTATTTTCAAAAGAGAGGCAATCTCCGTAAAAGATATATTATAATATTATGTACGCATAGCGATACAAACGCCTTAATATGCCTTAAAGAATCCCGCATAAATCTTGTGAAAAATAGGTTTCGATCAAATTGTTTTAAATTTTAATATTTTGTAAACATACTATTGATACGACATGTACAGGTGTAGTAAAAAAGATTTATTTCGATTTTTTTACTTTTTCATATAAAATATAAAGACTTCGAAGGTCCTACAGCAAAGCATTTGGAGGTTTGTGCCCGTAAGAACTTTTAATCAGCTTGACATGAGCTACAAAATATAAAAATTTGAAACAATTTGATTTAAACCCGTTTCCCAAGATTTGTACTCTTTTCGGGTTCTTTTCATATCTTTTCATTCCTTCTTATGCGCCTTTTCCGATATTCGTGCAACCTCGGATGTTAAGGCATTTATGTTCGCGTGCTTATAATTGTCGCTACGTAGTGTAGTAATACTCGGCGCGATATTCATTTATAATGGAATTATTTTTTTATAGAATAAAAAAATCTGTCACTTTTGATTGTAGCACAGAAATGCAGATACTCTCTTTCAATTTCTTCTTATATACCATAACTGGTTTGTGGCGACCAATTGAATGGTCTTCGAAATGCTCTAAGTCGCTATATAGCGTGTACACTTTCTTCATGCTGTATCTATTTACGTATTTATTTCTGACTCACTTCCTGTATGTCATCTTTATTGTCGATAACTTGGTAAACTTGGCCTCGAGTTGTTCTATTTTCCTAGGGACAATTACCTTACTCTGCAAAGCGATTATTATTGTAATCCGTCGCGATCGGATTATCAATTTGATAACAATACTGCAAGAGGAACCTTGCAAAGCTTGTAACGAGGAAGAGATTAACATCCACATAAAATTCGACCGTTTAATCAGGTTGGTATATTTAAGTACTGACGCGACTTTCGATAATAACAGCCATAATAAATAAATTGATAAGTAAATCAATAATATTTATATATGACTATTTAAGAAAATTAAAACGAGAATAAATAGATTGAACTATATAAAAAAAATTAAATTAGATTAATTTTGTTTTAAAGTTTTCAAGAAAATAGTTCTTAAGAAAAATTAGCTTATTGTATTCTAAAATCACAAATTTACATGTTTTGCACGTGTTTTTCGTTATTATAGCATCAACGACTTCCCAAAGTATTGTATAATAGCGATCGGATAGCGATTGTCGATATTTTTCACCATACTTACTGAAAAATTAAATGTTCAATCAATTTATATAATTTTAAGATAGCTTTTGCCTGTTTTTTTGTTCGCAGATTATATATACATGTATACATATTTATTATGTATTTTTGAAATGTCCATGCAGATCACATTCCATGCCTTATATAACACTATGTACGATCTCGATAATAGGCACTATAATTGGAGGAATGCTTTATATGTTAGAGGGCACAATACCTTATGGATTCGTGTGGGTACCTTGGGAATGTACTTCGTTCCTTTTATTCTGTTTTACATCTCTTCAAGAGATCGCAGCTGTGGTTTCTTGCATTATTGTAAACATCGCGACAGAAACTACGGTTTTAGGATTTTGCTTGCAAACGTGTGCAAAATTTGAAATTCTAATTCATCGCCTTCAGAAAATGATAAAAGGTGAGAAGGAAGATATGCGGAAAAGTTCAGTGAACAATACAAGCAGATTATCAAAATGCGTTTCCTTTCATCTTTGTATAATCAGGTTCGTCAAGCAAATGATATTTGTTTTGTGCATGTATTTTTCTTAAATAAAAAATCGATAATAAATAAAATTTGTACGAAATATATGACACATAGGATATATCTACATATATCACGTGCTTTTATTTCTAAAATTCTATAGTATATATGTATAAAACGTAAATTATATGTTAAATGCGCGCTAACAGCCTTATATAAGAACGTTTAAATATGTCAAATAATATAATAAATATTTATAGACTTGTTGAAATGATCAACGATGTGTTCAGTCCAGTCATCTTCATGCAATTTTTCATCAGTATTTTGGTACTGTGTTCAGCTGCATATTATCTGTCTTCTAATATAACACTTATAAACGTGCTTAACTACGCAACCTACGTATTTTGCTTATTTGTGCAGATTTATATTTATTGCTGGGCTGGCAACGAAGTTACACTTAAGGTAGTCGTGGCCTAAGGTAGTCCATAAAAATATATATATTTAGACGAAAATAATGTTTTGCAAGACTTTAGCAACCAGAATTGACATAATCGCAGTTTCTAATAACAATTCAATTATTCTGATTATCATTATTTATTTGCATAGAGTGTTGAATTAGGCGAAAAGATATATCATATGGATTGGATATTAATGACAAGAAGTGAACAACTGGATCTACTAATGATTATGAAGCGCAGCACAAAACCCATAAAATTCACTAGCAGTTTCTTAGTGACACTGTCTTTGGAATCTTATAGCAATGTCAGTATATGAAATTAATGCTATAAGCAGTACTCTATCGACGATTAATTAATTAAGAGCATTTAATTTGTATTAAACTTATTTATTTTACTTTATAGCTTCTGAAAGCGACTTTCTCTGCATTTAATCTTTTACAACAATTGTAAATGTGTTATTTGTACCCTTTGATAGTACACTGTACGTATACAGTAATTATGAGTAAATCGTTCATTGCATATGACATCTTGATATTTTTTCCAATGACGACGTGCATTTCCAATTATGGCGTTGGGGCATAGCAGTTTTGGCCCCTCCAATAATTTTATTGAGTAGGCAATGCCTCCTCAATAATTTTTTTAACAATCGCAATTAATTTCTGCGATCAACACTATAAGGATACATTCCATTTAATGCTCGCAACGCTTGTGGAATCATTTCATCCTTGTTGTTTATCAAATGTTAAACAATTTATTATTTTACGTTACAAGTACACTTTTATTTATGGAACGCTTATATAATATGTAATAAAAAATCATAAATTTAATAATATATTATCCAAATCACCGACGAAATATTAGACGATCGGTCCTGGGCAAATTTTCATGACTTCAACGGGACCCCGAGAGCCCCGAGAGTTTAGGGATAATTGAAGAACGATGACATTATCGACAATTAATAAAAATGTGCGATTTCGATAATTCATTAAATAATTCGTGATTTTTTATTACATAAATGTTATAATATAAATATAAGTACGCATACTTTTATATAATGCTATAATATCTTATATATTACCGAAAAATTACAAGTTTTTCTCTGGAATTGTCATCGCTATATTGATAATCAAACTCGAATGATAACATTAAAATCACAGTTTTAAATAAAAATCAAGTATTATTAAATTTTAAACATGTATATGTATCTACGAAACTAATAAATTATAAAATTAATACCGTATTATTAATTTTTAACTCTTAATCATTTAAATTTTCAGTCACGAAAATTTCCATAAGAACCGATTGACTGTCTTTATAATAGTATCTCGTCGGTACTTAAGGGGATGCTAAACCGATTACCCAACTCAATCAAGGTCGATAGTACAGACTTTTTTAATTCCAATTTCGATAATAGTGGCGACATCTTTGATTTAGTTTTTACATTATATTATATAATATATATCATTCTGTCTTACTCAAACGCATACATCTGTTCTTATCTAACATATGCCAGCACCATCTATCGCAAGACCGCGCAACTACTACTACATGGAATTTCGGCTCTGTTGACAGTCCCAGTCTCCGCAAAGCATCTGTATACACGTATTTCCTATTCGGTAGGAATATATCTTTTCTAGACTTTCAATCTTAGTTCTACAAATTCGGTATCGTTCGCTGCCCGCTTATTTTCAAGATATGGACTCTAAAACTCTTATATCAAGCAAATATATATCCGAGGTGACAGCTGTGCGAGCCAAAAATAAGTAAATTTTATAATTTTTTTTCGATTTTCTCATAAAATCCAGTGTAGCAAACATCCTCTGTGTGCGTACTATAATTTAAGTAATAATACTTTTGCAATCCGTACATCCAATACGGAGAAATCCCACCGAATAGGAATGTGGTAAAACAGGGGGGCTTTAGCATCGCCTTAAGACGATCTTAAAATAGGAACAAACTATGAATGCAGGCCTAAGACTCGCTTCGACCGTAAAAAGTTTTTCTCACTTTTACTGTGTTTGAAATATTTTACAATTATTGAACTATTGCACTTTTCCACATAACAATAACGACCCATTTTATCTTTTAATTCTTAATTTCACAATATTAATATTGCAACACGAATGACAGACACTTTGACTATCGGTTGTTTGAATTACGTGACGTAATTCATGATCGATATTTTAGTTCTTGGGTAAGGAGCATGGTGGCACTGTTTCTATGTTCATTACTAATTTTGCTGCTAGCCGATCGAGACGTATGACTCATGTGTTGTATAGTGTTGTATAGTGTATACACAACATACATCGCATACATGCATTTTGCCGCTCAATTAAATTGCGGAACAATTGGTCTAAAGACAATGTTAAACACTTAGACGGTGTCGTGAAGAATAAATATTGTATCTATATATAATACAATATCAAGCAAGATTATAGGAAACATCACGTAATACAAACATGAATCCCACAGAAGCTGAAACTATCGCTGATCTGGTTCAGAATATGATTATTTCTCTATGTGGCGAACAAAAACCAGGTTAGTTTTGAATAAAGTTACATCCTTGCTGGAATATTAACTGATAGAAAATATCAACTGTATATATTATTCAATTACTCCAATTAATAGCTACACAATTCATTTTAAACAATGTAATTAAGAGTTATTAATGTCTCATATTTCAGTAATAAAATATTGCTTAATTAACAAAGAGACATTTTTCAAAATATCGTATTATTTTGAGAATATAGTAAGGTAAATTAAAAATTTTAGAGCAGGAATCCTGATGGGTCTTCTTGATGAAATTTGATTAATTTGTATTATTTATGTGTTCTAATAAGTCAAGTCTATTCGAAAAAGTCATTTACATGTAATTTAACAAAGAATGTTGGATATAAAGTATCTTAAGAATTAATTAGCTTCAGCAAGGTGGCATGCTTCATAATTTTTAATCTCTTTTTAAATCTCTGTACATTAAATTGTACATTAAGGTATAAATAATGATAAGCTTTTCAAATAGATTTGGATTCTAGCATATATGTGGCTTAATAAATTATAGTTGTCATATTTTTCAGATTTTTTACAACATTTTAGTATATATATTATATTTAATAAACATAAGTTGTGGTATATAAATTTATAAATATGCAATATGTATTGTAAATTAAAAATCTGTAACATAATACATATATATATATATATATATATATATATACACAAGCTAAAACATTTTTTATATCTTGTAGAATCAATCAGAAGATTTATGCGTTTTTCCCTTGGCTTGCTGTCATCTACTCAAGGTATAGAAACACTGAGAGAGGATGAAGTAACCGTAGCAACATATTTAAAGAGTAAATTATCACCACGAGACACAGTGCAGTTTGATAAACTGCATAATGATTTAAAAGATGGGGTACAAGACAATTTTACATTTCTTTCTAAGCATTTTGTTTCGATTATATTTATTTTATTTATATTTATTCACAACCTACAAATGTATAAATTCTTGCATCAATCTTGTTCTTTCATTAGCCACTGAAAAATCGTACAAGCATTCTAATATTTCTACTGAACATGGGCCAGTCGGGTGAACAAATAAAGGACAGGATCTTTTCATTTCCAGATATGAAATCGGAATTAAGCCCAATCGCATCAACTAGTGGTAAGATTAACACAATCAACATTTATCAAAGAATTATCTAATTATTTTTTATATTTAGGACAATTGTCACAAACGTCATGTTCTCCAGCACAAGTTGTATCATTAAATACTACAGAGACAAGTTCAAAAGGATTATTAATACATCCCAATAAGATATTCAACGAGGAGTCCATTTCAGAAGATGCATTAGTTCAAGACTTGATATATTCTTTTCAAAGTGTTGAAGGAAAAATTTTAAAGTTAGACTCCAGCTACGGATTTCAGATAGACCCTATAGCAAAAATTAATAGATCACAAAAACAAGCTGTTTTAAGACTGAGTGAACTGGGATATTTACATAGTGTAGTGCGAAAAGGATTGGAGAGAATGTCTGTAACTGGTGCAGGCAGAGTCACTGATAGCTTTGTTGCTGCATTACATAAAGAATTGTCGGAATATTACAGATTTATAGCTATAATGCAAGAAGAAGTTAATAGGTAAGAATTAGATACATACGGTGATAGTATATAGTATCTCAAAGACATGAGATTATACTATACACAAAGTTATATCATTTTATAAATCCAATAATGATATTTTTTTTGTTTGGAATATATGTACTTGGAAAAAATATCTGTAGTATTATTTATAATAAAGTGATATAAGCGTAATGATTATAATAGGTCTCAACATCAAATGGTTACATATGGAGTTACATTATCTCACTTACATCTTTGGGCATGCGATCCTTTGGAAACTCTGAAGTGGTTAGCGAGTATAGTAAGAGCTTGCCAAGGTCAAAAAGGTGGTGCATTAGCATCGACTGTTTATGAATTCAGCTATCATGGAGATGTCATTGTGAAAAATTTAGTCAAAAGAGTTTTGGAAAGTGTTTGCAATCCTTTGTACAATATGTTAATGAGATGGATCGCTGATGGAGAGTTAGATGACCCGTATAAAGAGTTTTTTATTCAAGCGTGCAATGATGTTAGTGGAGATAGAATGTGGCATGAAAAATATCAAGTGAGAAATTCAATGGTGCCATCTTTCCTTAGTAAAGCACAAGCAAAGAAGATTCTGGGAACAGGAAAAAGTATTAATTTCTTACGTGAAGTTTGTAAAGACTTTTCACCGTGGCAAGATAGACATGCAGATGTGTTCAGAAATACTGATGAGGAATATAATGGTTAGTAATAATAATCATGCCAATTATTGACAACTATTGCTACAAGATCTTAATAGTGTCTTTCTTGATAATATTTGTGTCTGAAAATATTTGCAATTTATAAAAATTTTGGTTAATGTCAAATGGATTATTTACAGCTTTGTCTAACTTTTGGAAGGATATTTAATATTTTCATATTGTTGTTTTTCTTCTAGTTGAAGTCTTTTTCGATATGGATCCAGATGGTCGTTTGCAAACTATGATGGATGCAGCGTATAAAGAAACTTCAACAAGAGTTGTTGAAATATTGACAAAACAATATCATCTTATGGATCATTTGCAAGGGATTAAGGGATATCTTTTGCTTGGTCAAGGCCATTTTATTCAACATCTTATGCACTTATTAGAGTAAGAATATCTCTTGTATAATATATATTTTAATATATATATATATATATATATATATAAAATTAATATATTAATATATATTAATATAGATTTTAAAATATATTATTAATATATATATGTATTAATTATATTATATTAATGATACATGCAAGAAAGAAATGATATATATTTCTGTGCTTTAATATATATATATATATATATATATATATATATTTCAAATTAAAAAATTTCAATTATATATTTCAGACCTGAATTAGCTAAACCAGCAAGTTCTTTATATCCTCATAATATATCATCTATACTTGAAATTGCAATAAGGGCAACTAGTACAAAGTTAGATGATTTAGATGTGCAAAAACGTTTAGACGTCAGATTATTAGCACCTTCAGAAAGTGAAACAGGATGGGATGTTTTTATTTTAGATTATAATGTTGATGGACCTATAGGAACGGTAAAATATTGTTATAACGTATTAATTGTAATATTTAATCTATACATTAAATACTTGAGGAATCATAATCAACTTGTTAGATTTTGGAGCCATGTAGACAAACATATCAAACGGTCTTTTTTGCCTTGTGGAAAGCAAAGAGAATGGAGTCAATTTTATCTGCTATTTGGAAACAACAGACAACATCAGCAAAAATGTTTAGAAAAATGCCAGAAGTATTGCCTATCCAGAATCACATTCATCTAATTACTAGTAGCATGGTTCATTTAGTTCATCAAATGCAATATTATTTTTTATTTGAGGTAATTTGACATGTTACGTTAAGCTATTGTTAATCTTAGATTATTAATCTATTATTAATTTAATAGTGGGTAATTTTATGGTGAAATTTGTTGTATAATGCATATTAACAAATGAAAAATTTAATTGAAGGTAATCGAATGTTCTTGGGATACATTTGCAAAGCAACTTCTTCAGGCATCATCTCTTGATGATATAATTGTAGCTCATAGTCATTTTGTTGATTCTGTAAGACATGGTACATTGTTGGATGAAAAATCGCAAGTAAGTATTAGGTGATATTTATATATACATACGAACGCATATTTTTGTACTATTCTTGGTGTTACAGGAACTTATGGATCACTTACGCTCAGTTTACAGTCCAATACTAGACCTTCAGAATCTTGAGGAAACTTTCCTTGCACGTGCTACTCAGGAATATGAGACACGATTAAATAATGATAATTTAGGGCGTGAGCAAACAAAAAAATGGGGTCGTACAAATAAAAAAGATCAAGAAATTGAAGAAAGAGAGAAGGCATTCTCAAAATACCTAAATACACTTTCAATACAATTGAGACTGCTTTCGAGAACATATCAGGTAATAATGAAGTGAAATATTATTTTCTGGTTTCATATTTATCATCATTACTACTATTTTCTTATCTACATGATTCTTTACGTTATAAAGTAATAATTTACATATTGCTCCTAATGTTTAAAATGAGATATAAAAAACAATTGCTTTCTTTTAATGTATCTATTTTTGTCTTCGAAAGAGAAAACAAAATTTGTTTTTAAAGATATATATATTTTTTTCAGGATCGTGTGAAAAAGTTTTTATTAATGCTTGCTTCCGCTGAAGATGTGTCGTTGCAATTACTTAGTGTACGATTAGATTTTAATGAATATTACAAGAGTAAAGATAGCCGACTAGTTGTGCCATTAACGTATCAACATCGCAGACAAAGTGATCAAACATTTTTTGGATGCAAGTGACAATTGGAGGTAGAAAATCTATTAGAAACCTTCAATGATTCAAGTCACCTTTCAAATGAATGCTGTATCTCAACTGAGCAAAATTCATCTGACATTAATAATAAGGTTACAAGCACATTTCATTTTTCCATTAATCGTCCTTCTTCATTTTCTTCTTTATATCGACATCATGATACCACCAATTTTTTTTATAGACCACACTCATCCAAAATGATAACAGATGTCAATGATTCTGTCGTTTTGCACAAAAAAAGTTATAGAACAAATTTGAGAAACGCTGAATTAAGTAAACGTACATTTAGAATATTTTTGGAAAAACAGATATTGTCACATGTGGAGATAGAGATTCAGAAAAATATCCAAGAACCTCAAACACCATTAACACCTAATTTTAATTTTGATGAAAACGATCTTACTTTGAGCAAGATACGAATAACGCTTTCTCCGTTTCAAACAATCGTACCCGAAGAGAAATCATTTATAAAAAATAATTCAACCCTATCAAACTTTGAAACTAAAATGTGTTCCAGTAATAGAGCTGTAAAAATAACTAATGCAATCGTAAATCGTGACATTGATTCTGAAATTAATATATACGAGAATCCTGTTCGAAAGAAATCAAAAATTTCTACTGCACTTGTGTCTAATCAAAATACCTCAAGCCCTAAAATGAATATAACAGTTGATAAGCAATCCAACTGTGCGTTGATGTATGTTAATAGTCCAGAATGGTTTCAAGATAACGAGACTGTATCAGTTCATGGTTCTTTACTAAGTGAAACTATTTCGGACGTTAGCACGTACAATTCAGATTTAAGAAGAAATACTAATCATAAACGATGTCGTTGGAAACGCATACTTTTTTGTTGTGTTAATTGAGTTTGTTATTTACATCAACTGTACATTAACAATCAAAAAATATATATTTGAGAAAGAGAAATCTATTTCTGTAAAATTTGTTTTTTAATATTTTTATTTCTTTATAAAATTATATGTGTAATTCAAATATATGCGTCCGCAACTCACATACTGAATTAATAATTTTTTAATACTCACTAATATTAATGTTAGTTGTATCGATAAATGTTGATTTATGAAATACATTGTCTTTATCTTGTACTACTTATGCACTTTGCTGCATTTCTACAAAATTTTAATATTTAAGATTTTGTGATTATTAGAAAATAATATCCAAAATATAATCCATAAGCAACCTGTAGTCTGTACTTAATTGAAAGAAAATTAAAACTTATATTTTTTACTATAAAATATTGCTTGGATAGTATATATAAAGTAGTAGTATCTTTCTATCGTACAACAACGTAGATAATAGTATTTTATTTTTCTGTTACAATATATTCATTTGTCATAATGAAAATTAGTTACAATACTTTTATTACCTGCGAAAATTTTAATATTTTTTTACTTTTATTAAAGATATTACATATTGATATACATTTTAGTTTTGTAGACTTACTAGTTATGAGACATAATAGTACACATTCTCATTCTAAGTTGTACACATAAGACAATACATTTGTATTATCTATAATTATATGCTATATTTAATAAGCTTTATTCATACTTAATTTCTTGCCATATTAGAAAATTAATGCACTTCAAAAAATATAAGCTATTTTTACATTATTGATATGTGTTACTATTGTATATTTAATATTTGTAATAAATCCAGTAATCACCTTTTTCTTTTATTTACAATGTTGAGCAATAAAAAATGTAAGTTGTTATTTTAAATCATTAAATAGACCAAAGTGTAATAAATTAAGTGAAAAATCCTATTGTGTTTTCTATTATTGCTTTATATATAATTTAATAACATTTATATATAATATAATATTTTCTATTATTGCTTTATATATAATTTAATAACATTTATATATAATATATTTTCAAGTAAAATATGTATAATACAGTATTAATAAAATCCGTGTAAGTATTGCATTTGATAAAAAAAAATAATTATCAATTTTATAAATTTTACCTACATGAAGTAATTTACATGATTCGAGACTTATATTCTCATAAATTAATGTCTAATCCCTACCAACAATAACAAATACCGTTTTTTTCTTTGTAAAATCTAATACATAGAAAGATTTAACTGAAAGTTGAATGCGTATATTAACTTTTTCATCTAGTACTTTCGATTTCACAAATGATTGATATGCTCTTAATTTATCAATTTATAGTTTATTGCATTATCTTCGATCATTTTTTTTTATTTGCACTATGTATTATATTGTTTTTCAACATTTAAATAAAAATTAAAAATACACAGGTACAGATATTTGAGCAGAGGGAAGAGAGGTAAAAACTTGAAAGGCAAAGTCTAGAAATATTACTTTTACTCATATATATTGTGCATTATTATATTATACATTTCTTTTAGACAATGAATAAACATATCATATATATGTATATATGTGCATGTATATGTATATATATTTTTTCTGTTAATTACTACTTTTAAAGAAGTTAATAAAATTTAGTTTATTAATTGCTAATTATTGAAAATATAGATAATAAATTAATTTGAGAATTGTAATGGCATCCAAGAAAGAGAAGGCCATGGATACATTGTTGGTAATTGTATGTAATTGTTATTGAAACCTTCAAACTTGATAATCTCTATACTCGAAATACTATTCTGTGTACCCGTATAATCGGCTGCATTATTATTTGACACATTCAAATGCTGTAAACGCTCATGAATTCGTAAATCATTGATGACGGGAGATTTCTGATTGTAGATACCGTAGTAAGAACGATCACCTATAAGAATTTTGCATATATACTTATATTATAATTCGTTATATATTCACGATTAAAAAATTATTCATTATTTGTGAAGAAAATTCATATCATAGATTATAAATCATTATGTCACACACAAAAATTTTTATTAAGGGATTATAAATTATCTTTAAAATTATTTTAAAAAATAAGAAATTTTTTAACATAATTTTAGAGATTTTTTTTTAATTTTTACTATTTTTTATTTATATCGTTCTCACAATATAAATAATTGCTTGATATAAAGGTTAGTACAATAAAATAAAATAAATTTTATATTGCCTGATTGTTGAAGTATTATTATTACCATGTGATTTCATATGATGATGCAATGCGCCGAATTTGCAAAATCCCCTATTACAGATGGAACAACGTAGAGGCCAATTACCGGTATGAGAATATCCATGAGCTCTTAAATCACCGGGAGTTGGAAAGGATCGTCCACATTCATCACACTTGTGTGGTTTCTCCTGAATTTCAAATTATATATATATATATGTGTGTGTATATATGTATATATGTATATATGACAGTTATCATACAAATCTGATAATTAAAATGCCTTTACTCTAGGAAAAAATTATTTTACAATGATTAATTTGTTCTCTCGATTTATTCTACCTATATCAAGTTGGTCATTTTTAAATCGCATTAGTAATACATAATACTCCAAGAAATTCAGAAAAAATACCTTATAATGCGTCATGCGATGGTAATATAAATTCGATGATGCTGTAAAACGCTTTCCACACATTGGACATTCATGAGGACGTTCACCAGTATGAATCCTAACGTGTGTATTTAACGAACTGCTTGTACTGAACATTTTACCACATATTGCACATCCATGTGGTTTTTCGCCTGAGAATAGTTTTTTAAATGTTAACTACATGTAAGAATATGAAAGCAAAAGCTACTTTTCAAATAAATTTTTGTATTTATTATCAAACTCTTAGTATATACTATTATTTATAACTTCATAAACGCTTGTAATTTTTTTGTATCTCACGAAAAGTTAAATATCTGGATGAAAAAAATTAAAAAAGTATTATTTTTAATTTCATGTAATTTAAAAAGAAAATATCGTGGAGACAAGACTAAACACAGAATTAAAGTTCTATCTTTCCTCTTTAAAACGCATTTTTGAAAAAAAACTTCTCTACGTTTCTTTTTCACACCGAGATGTTTAACTTTTCATGAGATACGAAAAAATTGTAAGCGTTCCCGAATTTATAAATGGTGTAGTATATACATGTGTTTGTGTATATAGTATGTCTGGAAATAAGTGTTCACACAGCAGAAATTCCAAAAAATCAACGAATTCAACTTTTCTTTAAGCTTCTATACAGTCCTCTCTCAATATATACGCAGTAGATTAGAATCTATTATATATCTTAGATCTTGGAGAAAGGATTAAAAGAATCTCTAATTTACCTGTATGCGTTCGCAGGTGTCTTTTTAAAAGAGAAGGTCTGTCAAAACTTTTACCGCAAGTTTGACAGGGAAGACGTCGTTGAAATTTAAAAGTATTAGTAACGTTAGTTTTCCATGCAGTCCCATGTCTGCTCAAGTCCAAGGGTGCATTCTGCGTTACGTTCCATACTATTGTATTAACATATTTATTCAATTAGATGGTAATCGTATCTAATATAAATCTACTTTTAATTAGTTAATAAGACAAGAAATATTTTCATACAAAAAATACGTAGCTTTCAAAAACAGAAATATTTTAAGGTGTACCTGTTAATTTATTATCCACTTCAACATACTTTTACTATCGTAATTCAATCTCTATTAATAAATTTGTATCTCAATTATGTTGTACACTTACCGAACATTACGATAATTTGCTGTTATCGATAACTTGTCAATTTTCAATACACAATTTAATTTGAATGAAGAATTGAATTTAGGACAAATAAATAAGTTTGTCGTATCAAATTACACGGTTCTTCACACGCGTAGCATATTACTACTTCGGACCAGATTAAACGCGTGATTAAAGGTAAGAAACGATGCAACCGCAAACGACTCTTCGGCGCATGTCAAAGGCGGCGTTTTCATAAAGGGCGGAGTTTGATCGCCGTAAAATGCTTTACAATTGCTTGTGTAATATATCTCAGAATTTCTGTAAAACATTATTCTTGTTATAAATTGCAATAAATTAATAGAAGAATGTTACATTAAATTAAAGAGAATATAATCCATATGCTTGTGGCCATATCATTTACATAAAAAATTTCTTTTAAAGATATGAAAATTCTTTTTATCTCTAAAAAGATTTGACATTAACGTCGACTGTATAAAACTGGCGCAAAATCTTAAGATAATATACGTACATCAAAACTGTTCGAGTTTTTTAAATATATATAATTAAACATCCTTTAATTAATTTTTTAATAATTCAGTATGATTTTCAATTTATGAGATAATATCGTTACATTATGCTACTGTTACCGTCTGGTACCTAATCATTACCTACGACAAGAGGACACAATATAAGTTTCACAAATAGTGTAGTAAGAAAAGGACACGACGAAAAGGTTAGACTTGTTTAATAATTTCTCTTATAAAAAATTATACGTTCATTCCATGATAAAAATTATAGAATATCCAAATATTAGATCAGATCACACTTAGAATATCTTTTTATGTAACTTCTCTCTCTCCTCTCTCTTCGGAAACTTTATAAAGATATATAGAATATATCTATGATATAAAATCATTTGATTTTACATCTCTCTGTAATAAACCATATAAAATTCTCAATGAGAGAAAAAAATGACTATTCTATAATTTTATCCATCGTAATTATATTTCGTTAATGGCATAAATGGTATATGCGTAAATGGCGATTTAAATCTAAAATGCCATAAATCTTAGTCAGCTGACTTGCAAAAAGAGGTGCTTCCATAACCGATCTTCTAATACGCATTTGACGAAAATATTCCTCGTTAAGTTTATGTTTATAACATTGCGCGTTTTTCAAAGTCCATTTGTTTATAGATTTATACCACCGTACAAAAATACGTTACGTATATATCATTAGATCGTGAGACAGACTATTGTATGGATAAAGCTTATGAATCAGGTACAGCTGATAGTGCTTTGTCACCG